AGTTCAATGGTCCTGGAAGCTGTGTGCCAACAGAGTTGCTTTGTATGAATGTAGTATTTATGTTTGGGATATACCAAAATAACACACTTCGGCAGATCCATATTACAACTTTTCATTTTTTTTGTCAGTCTTTTACATTCAGGGAATTAATGTAGACTTCGGCTTTTATTTTTAACTCTCCCAATGAAAGGTGTGGAGAAATGGATGTAAAAGGTTGAATTATTACAGTTTGGAAAGTGCTTGTCATTTGAGACACATTAGCTGGTTAGGTATGTTCCCAGCCTGTTATTAGTTTAAATCTGATGGTTGAAATTTTTAATTTTAGTTTGCAATGGACTAAGAGTATGCACATGATTATTTAATATGGTTCAACTGATAAGAAATACATTTAAATGAGATAAATCAATCATTTTCTTATTAAACGACACTTTTCAAAGATGCCCTTGTGGCATAGGGAAACATAGGATGTTACAGGAGAGAAAACTGGCATCTCTTTTTTTCCTTTTTTTCTTTTTTTTTTTCTGTTCACCACTCCAAATCTTTACAGTCTTTCCAGACTTGTATTTGACAACTGTACAGTTACTGTCATATTTAATATTACCACTAGTTTTTACAAATTAGTTATTGCAACATGCCAGGAAGAAACTTAATAATCACATCATGTCCTTGCTCTACTCCTCCCAAATAATCTGCATTTGCAGCAGAGAAGCTTTTGAGTAGTTATTCCTTGCTGATATGTCATGCAGTCCTCTTGTTCTCTTATTTTCCCTCTGCCAAAAAGCAGTTAATTAGCTGAGCAAAATAGATGTTTTATAGTGAATCAATACTGAACACCGAAACAAACTTCATGCCTCCAGCAATGTAACTACAAGCTTGGGAGAGGTGAACACACATATCATAATGCTGAGAGAGGAAAGAGGAGGACAGGGAATAGTTTCTCACTTATTTGTGAAAAGGGGGACCTTCCTGCAATATGACTTGCTTCTCTAGTACCTTGCAGTGAAGCTGGATTTCGTGGTTGTCTTATTGGTGCTCTTCCTTCGCTATGCGTTTGTAGGGTATATGGCTTTTTGTTTTCACCTTTCATCTAGATTGTGGTTACTGCTGCTGTTTAGAGGAAGAAATACAGCAAATAAGCCCCTAATGGCAAGGAATAGGTGACCTCTCCTGAAGGTATTGCTCTTGGCCCAGGTAGGTGAAGGCTCTCTTGCTCCCTGCCTTTGCTATTTAAGTGCATTGGAGCATTCTTCCAGGCACAGTCCTCTGCTGTGGGGTTTTGTTGTTCTTTTTGTAGATATGTCTCTAAAGGTGTCTCTAAAAAGTAGTTGATATTTTCTATTGATGCTGAAAGGAGAGTGAGAGAGAACAGTCTCAGTCTTCCTCTTCAGCATTATGGTTCTCTTTAAGATTTTTTTTTTAAGCAGATGCTAGCCTATATTTCAAGGGGATGTTCTCTGCAGCACAAAACTAAACAGTTCATATTCCCTTATGCTGCCCCACAAATAATCCCTATCTTTGAATGAAACCAGACATTGATTTATGTGGGACACACTGTTTTGGTTATAAGCCCCCTGAAAACACAGCATTTTATGTCATGTGGCTTGGGAAGACCCACACAGCCGCTCTGTGCATCCCTCAAGAAGACGATCTCCAGGATTCTCATAAGCATCTGATTGCCGAGGCTACATTTCCACTTCATTTCATAAATGAAAAATAAATGGTTCTCTTGACAAAGAGAGCGGGAGTAAATTTGCCGAACAGCTGTAATAAAAAGAAGAATATAAACCTTTTTGATGGAGCTCATGGGTTCTGCTCCCCACACTGCTCAAGTGTTAATAAAAGCAAATAGTGTTACTTCCAGTATAGCTGTGACATGAATGTAATACTTACTGTCTCATAGAAGCAATTTATGAGGCTCAATTTTTAGTACTTGCTTCATTTGTTTGTCTTCTGTTGATCAAGATGACATCTTTGATTTTTACTACAGCATTTTAAAGTTGTAATGCGTGGAATGCAGTGTGTGAGAACAATTCCCACTACATGTAGCTCTCACCAGCATCTTCAGATATGTGGATCCCTCTCGGGAATGGCCTTACCTAGGATTTTTACAATGGTGAAGCAAAGCTGTTGTTGGCACTAAGAGAAGTGCCACAAAAATCCTCTTTGTAAAATTGCAGCCATGAAAGGGCTAAAATTTACCTTTGCACTGCTGTGCAGTCTGGTTGAAGGGCACAAGGAAAGTATGTGGTTCTCTGAATAGGGTACAAGTTGAACAGAGCTAAAAAAAAAAGAAAAAACTGTTAAAAATTATCAGGGTATTGTGGGGCTCAAACTATGTTCCTGGCTCACCTAGTTTTGGGTGCAGGCCAGGAGGAATATCAGTTGTTTGTAGCTTCACAATAATAAATACTTTGGCTTTTCACAGCTGATTCTGGTAACAAAAGGCAGCTGCAGATAAGACTGGATTTCCCTTTTCAAAGGAAAAATAGTCCTCAGCCCATGGCCCTGTTGTAACTCCACACTGACTACCATCTCAAGCAGATTTCTTTCTTTCATTACATGTTTCCCCTCTCAGCTGTTGCCTGCCTGTGGATTGAAATGGATGTACCCAGCAAGCTGGTACAGATGGATATGTTCTTGGCTGTTGCGCAGAATTAATTAATGTTTTCTATTCTATATATGCCTTTACATTGTGCATACCCCGGTAGCTGAGTGCATTGAACAATGTACCTAACATCTGTCACATGTTCATTTTCCCCCTGATCCTTTCCCCTGGAGGGGCAAGGTGGACAGCATGCTGTCTTGCTTTGGGAACAGAGCAAACAGACTTTGAGAGGACCTCCTGGGTCAAGTCTCATCTCTGGCTGTTGCAGACATCTGCGTTAGATAATGCTCTCGTGAGCTGAGTGAGTGCCGGTCTAACATCAGATTTCTTTCTTTGTACTGCTATTGGAAAGCTGTTCCACTACTTTCATATAAGGGTTAGAAAGCTTTCATTTTCAGCTTCAGGTTGTTTCTGCCTTGTTTTTTCTTAGTTCATCTTACGTCAATGTTGTTCTTGATCTTAATTAGCTTTTTTCCTTCTAGGCTCTTTATCACACTTACCGAATTCATAAGCAACAATCTTACTTCCTGTTAGCCTATATCTTGGTACACTGTTGTACTGTTAGTACAGGTATGACTATGTATGAGGTAATTGTTATTTCATCAAAATTAAAGCTGGAAAAAATTATTCCAAGTGGATTTGATTTTTGATTTGTTGAAATCATTAACTTGAATTACACAGCAGAGTTAGTGCTGTACTGATGTATGAGAAAATCCCATCCTACCTTAATATTTAGGTAGGAAACCTTCTACATTTATTTTTTAATATATGTTGCCTAAACACCTAAGACGATTCAGTTTAGTTCCCTGGCTCACCTTAGGTAAGACTTTCAGAATAATCCTACTGCTTTCAAATGAGTCTATGTTGCATAAAGTTCACATGAAATTGGGAAATATATCCTAATTTCCTTCCAAAGCATAAGGTGCTTGTTAATGGCAAACCAGCAATCCTGCTTCAGTCTCGGATCTAAGGCAAGTGCAGCTCAAACTGCCCAGACTCAGGTCCTGGGGTAAATCCCTTGGTGACTGCAGGTTATGGGCTATAAATATATGGAAATGTCTCCACCTGTGTCCTCCTCAGCACAGGACAAGCCCTATATAAGGCCACATCATCTAGCAAAGTGCAGGGTCATGGGGCAGGGCTGCAGTGTTGAGCCCATGGTGGGGGCTGCTTGGTGGTGTGTTCCCACCAGGCACAACTCTTCCTCTCTTCTCCCCTCCCTACAGCCATGCAGGGCCATGGCATCACTCCCGTTCCGGAGTATGTCTGGCTCACAGACAAAAATGCAGACTGACCTGCTTGCTGTATCTGGTGTCAAGTCACAGATTGGAAAAGAGGCCATTCTGCTGTGCTGCAAATTTGTTAAAAACTAGGGCAGTTTGGTACAAAAGGCTGTAGGACTTGAGTTTTGTGTTTGACAGTAGACGTGGCAGATTTGGCTGCATTCTAGTATGACTGCGTCATAGTGTGTCTGCATATGTGTCTGATCTGTTGCAAATGATCCACATTTGTGAAAAAATGCACTTATTTTTGTTGTATTTATAAAGAATGCCTGAACTGTCTCTTGCTGAATTTTCTCTCTGGTAGTCTTTTGAGTTGTTGTGATTTTTTTTATTTTTTTTGTGGAGGAAATTAGGTTGATTCTGAAGTCTTCCTCATTGCAATTTGTTATTTCAAACTATCACTGCAAAGGGGGAAGATGGACCTCTTCAGTCACCCCTGGTTTGAAAAGGTCTGGGTCTAGAAGTAATCAGCATATCTGATGTTACTTCCTCAATAAAATAAGCAAACATTATGAAAGCGGATAGCATAAAATTCATGCTTTTCTTTTTGAACCATTTCTTCTTACTGTTTATAGACTTTTTTTTGTAATTCATCTGCTCCTCTTGCCTGATTGATGTTCATCATAAATCCTGTGCTCATGGCAGGCATAAAACATTCAAAGAAAACAGATTTCACCTGTCTCCATACCTGAAAGCAGTCTGAGTTTTGTAAAGCTGTTGATGTGGCTTCCAAAATGTATAAATAGAAAAACTAAGGGAACTTGAGAATCAGTGTTGATACTGTCTGGACCACAAAGTTCAAATATTTCTATATTAGGAAGATTTATTTCTGAAGTCCTTACAGGTAGAAAGTTTCCTATTCCAAGAGAAACATCAAGCCTAAATTTTAACTGTCAGTTAAGATTAGTGTAAGTGGCTTTGAGTAGTGGTCAGTCAGATTTGTTTAAGTGGCTTTCAAAATGCTACCAGATCAGTATCTTTTAAGTTTACATCCGTCTTTCTTTCACTTTCATGAGTGTGGACTGCACATGGTACAGAACGGCTTTGAATGAAATCCTTTTTTCTCTTTGCTGTGAATGTTTTCCTGGACTAACATGACTGTGATTTTTGCCATAGAAATGTTAATAAAACTTTATCCTTACTGTCTGAGCGTCTTTGTCCCCTTTTCTACCTATCCATCCCTTGTTTGCCTTTAATATCCACTGGTAAATCAATGTAAGAAAAGAAACATGCAGTCTCCAGGTCAGTTAAGACCTGCTGATATGTGGATATCTTGTTGCTCCTCTGAACTCTGAGCGTGTTCACTTTGGTGGATCTTCTTTGCTCTTCCTTCTGCTAGTTGATTTTTTTTGAGGAAAACTATCCCTTTCCCATCACAGCCCCCCCTTAACTGGTTAAATGCATGATATAATATCAGTTTTGTTTATTTTTTTTTTTTTAAAACTAACTATGGAGAAAGTGGAATGGAAGCCTTCAAAGAGCTGGCTGCCCAAGAGGGTCTCTGCATTGCTCACTCTGACAAGATCTACAGTAATGCTGGGGAAAAGAGCTTTGATCGCCTGCTCCGCAAGCTGAGAGAAAGGTTACCCAAGGCTAGAGTGGTGGTTTGCTTCTGTGAGGGAATGACAGTGAGGGGGATTCTCATTGCCATGAGGCGCCTGGGAGTGCTTGGGGAGTTCCTGCTAATTGGAAGGTAAGGCTCTGAATGTGGTTTCTCTGCTCATCCTCTACCTCTCGTCCTGCAGGCAGTCCTTTCATTTCAAAACCGTGCAACTCAGGCTACCTGTAATTTCCATATTTACTTGTCTAATGAATGAAAAGAAGAGGGAAGATGGTAGAGCAGATCTCAGGAAGGGGATATGAAGATGTATGGCAACTTAATTGGTGGCTTTAACTGTCACTGAAGTAAATGTTAACAGCCAACTGTTTTATATGGATATATAATGTTAGTGTTTTTGTGCTTTCACGCGCTCTAGAGGAATGTTTCATACACAGATTTTATAACCAAAGTAGGGAGCAAAGAATTCTGGTTTCAGGATGTGATCTGGAAGTGTGACGTGACAAACTTTCATGTGTTTCACTAAGGATGTCTCCTGATAATTTGAAACCCCAAATTATTTTGATTACTTGCACTTTTTTCACAGTCTTATGACTACAACCTGGCATGCTCAGTTGTACGTTTTGTTCTGATCTTTGCTGTTGAAAGCTAGGGCACTGATATTGCAGAGACTTGTTTGGTTTTTAAAACATCGAACTTGCTGATGGCCAAGTCAGTATGTATGTGTGTTTTTATATTACCAGAGTAACAGTGCAGGCATGTATATTGGACAGGCAAAGACCATCTTTAACAAAATTTTCTTCTAGAGTTTATCCGTTCTTTGTAGATATTCACTAAAATATGGTCAACTATAGTTCTATCACATCTGGTCTATCCACATCACTCTTTGTTTCTTTCTTAACTATTGTTTAAACACCATTTCTTCAAGGCCTTTGGCAGCTGTCTCCTTACCTACTTAGCTGCTGTTGTCTTTTTATTCTGTTGTCATTCAGATCTATCTGCCTTCTTTTTGTCCCTTTCTCTCCCTAAAGTCTTTCTGTCTGTTATTGTTGTGACTGAGATGCTCTCCTTTAGCTCTGTGCTATAATATTGGTCTTTCCTTGACTGCATTGCTCCTCAAAACCCACACTTATGATTTTTATAAGTCAGAGAGCTAATGTGGCCCAAGTAATCATATGAAAGCAATCAAGGGCTCTCCTCCCATCATTTATTTTTGTTGCAGTCTTTGATTGCAATCTATTTGGGGCAGAGACTGAATCTCTAGATGGGTATGTAGACAAGATATAGCACATTTGGAAAGCCATCAGCATTAAAATGAGACTAATAGTAAGGCAATATTGAAAATGGTATTATGTTTTATGTTTGTGCATGTGTTTTTTGTCTACATCGTTCAATATGCGTAATTTGAAACGAATAATGAAGCTTTTCAGGACTGATATGTTATAGGTATGTTTTTTCAGTGAACTGAAGAAGCTAACTATGATAAAATTAGTCTGGGTGACAGCATCCCTGGTCATTTTGTAAATGCCCTGCAGCTTTAGGCGATGCTGTGCTTTCTTCATGTATTGTTGTCCCTCTGTAATGGCGTCTTATCGTGAACCTCATTTTGGTGCCCTCTCTTGGCGCTGTCTATACAGGGAGCCTAAGGAAATGAGTCTCCTGCACTAAGCACCAAAACTAGGTACTTTGGTGGTACAAACCTTAGTTTTCCTAAGCCATTTACTTGCTCCCCTATGCCATGGATATGTGGAACATTTTAACTTGAAATTTTGACTAAAAGCCTTTATCAAGCATTACGCTACTGTATTTGGTTCAATTGTTTGTCTCAGAATCTGCCCAACAGCATTACTCTGAGCTTTTTGTCAGAAATTCTCACCTATTAAATGCTAGTAATGGAATTTCTTTGGAAATCAGAATGTATTTTTCAGGTACCCTTCTTTTTTGCTGGTAACTAAGTATGGGAGACTCTTTTTTAGGACTGGGCAGGCTGTTCCTATTGTAAAATAGGCTGGTTATTGCTTTGCATAGTCTGGATTGTGCCCAACAGCTGGCTGAAATAAAAAGTATTATAGGGCTTGCATATGTTTTATATATGCTTGCAGAACTAAAAGAAAAGACATTTTCTTTGAATTGTCCTAATTAAGTGATTTTAAAAAATGGCAAATCTAGCAAACTTATTCACAAGTAAGTTGCAGCCGAACTGCAGTGCTATGAATTTGGTCATCTATATACAAACAGGAACCAAGGCACACATTAACATTGCTCTGACACACTGTTTAGTCTTTTTTATTCAAGTACACAGCTAAGCAAAAACCCAAAAGCCTTTTAAGAACATTCTTTTAATTGAGGGAAGTGGGAGTGAATGTGAAATCAAGATTTTTTTGCAATAATGAGCTAAACAAAGCCTTTAATTTACTCACAGGTTTATTATCAGCCACACTGTATCAACCCGGTAATCTGCTCTGACTCACTGTAAAGAGGAAGCCTTTACAAAGGGACACCTGGCTAAATAGCTCTCTTCCTGCTCTATCTTCAGTATTGCTATTGATCAAAGCAGACAGGAACATCTCAGTTTAACTAAATTCAAGGTATCAGAAAGAGAGCTGGGAACTAAATTTGACTTCAGTTTAATCTGGGAATGATACACTGGAAATTATAGGGGGTTACACTGAGCCAGAACTAGGTCATCAGATACTGGGGACTTTTCTGGGATGGGCTGGCTCTTCTCAGGCATGAAGTTAGGACCCTATTTCTGCCATATCTAAACAAGTGTTCCCAAATTTGGATTGGAGATCTAACCAGAAGTTCAGCCTCCTTTGCTACTGGAAGTGGGATTCTGTTGTATTAGTGACAAGAAACAGGATTCCTATTTCTGAAACTGGAGGGAATCTGAGGTTAAGACAGGACAGAAGAGGTTAAAATCCTGCCTGAGAGAGAATGGAGGATGTTCTGAAATCAATACAGTGTCCTAATGTAGTGGAGAGTTCAGTGAGAAAATTTATTAAGCTATGAAATTAAGGATGAAAATACTTTAAAAAGTGGCTGATAACAAAAGGGAAAGGAGAAGGCAAAAATTGATCATGGCTTTGTATAAAAACAATGATTGGAATAGTACTGGAGTAACCAAAGGCAAAATTATGCTAAGAAATAACCTGTACTCTTAAGGGAATTCAGGTGATAGCTCTGATGCAGGCCACTGGGTTTTATGTTACTTAATAAGCATCAACTAGTTTTTGTGAGAATCTTGCAAGATGGATAAATCTCCTGGGAGATATCCCAGGGGTATATCCCCTGGGATGATGCATCAAGACAAGGCATGACTTTCCAGCATCTGTGTGCGTATTGCAAAGTAAATGAGAGACACAAATGAAATCCCCAATTTTAAGAGTTAATCTGAGATCATCAGATAAGACACATGTTAGATAAAGAGTTGGAAATGAAAATGCTCTTTTGCAATTTGACAATCTCTCAAACTCCTACACACAATGGTTTGTGTAAATGTATGAGGAACTTTAGGAAGGAAGGGATATATTAGTGTACACACTGGCTTTCAGTAGAACAATTGGTAATGGACTATGTAACACTTTACTTCCATAGGCTTTCTGATGTTTTATGGTCTTCATTAATATCGCTCTGTGGGCTGCTATAGAACTATGAATTTTAAGTGTTGGTAAGGTGAGGTCTCTTTAAAGTTTGGACACTTGGCAGTGAAGATATAGTTGAATTCTCTGCTGTGAACCCAGTGCATGACAGAGGGAAATTCAGTTCCTTTTCTACATCTAATAAAACCCTTTTAGCATAGGGTGACAGAGCTTTCAGGATGCATAATGTGATGAAATTTTTCCTGACTGCCCTCCCTTCACAAGCCAATATTAATAATGGCGTTTTGGGCATTTAACTTCACACTTTTTAAAATATTGACAAGGAATTGTCAATGTAAGCTCTTTGGTCCTATTATCTGACATTGCTGGATATATCAAATCTGATTTCATCAATGTACAAGAGTAAACAACTTGTTGGTGAGTTGACAGAGAAACGTGCCCTGACGTGTTCAGTCCCTGGGTGGCAGGGTGTGTGGGAGGATTTGGGCAGGTGCCTAGGGCAGTTATCACCTTCCAAAACCTGGAATTTTATGCCTGAACAGGCATATAATCCCATTGAATTGAGGTGCCACTTGACTTCTGTCAAGTGCCTTGCCTACCTGAATGAGACCCATCAGTTCCTAGCACTGTGACTGTGACTACTGAGCCTCTGTTCAGTTCTATCAGAGCAGAGGAAGGAGGGCCTCTACATCTGAGGACTCCATGGTTAAGACAGGGACCCAAACCCTGTTTACAGTAATCACCCCCATAAGTCAAAAAGAAAAAAATAGAAGCAGAAATTAACAGGTCCATAGCATTGACTAGTAAAGGAGGAGGAAGACTCTGATCAGGAAGCTGGTCCTTTGGCAAGGAAACAAGAGAAGGAGGTGACAGAAGTCACTCTGTAGGCAGAAATCACCTGGTCCCTGAGCAAACTGAGATATGCAGAAAGATTGTATCTGCCAGCCAGGCGAATAGGTTGCTGCCTGGTTGCTCAGATGCTGGGATACAGGGGCTGACAGTCAGGAATTAAAAGGTAAGGAAGCCCAGAAGCTGGGATATCTCACTAGGGACCAGTGAAGAGACAAAGAAATTGGAAGAGAGGCTACAATTCACAACCTCTGCAGGTGGCTCCTGTTGAACATGAAGGCAAGGTATCTCCTCAGGGATGATTTTGTAATTTTCTGAGGGAAATAGACTACCACGGCGAAAGGTGTTGTTTTAACTTGAGTCTTCGTTTCTCACTATCCAAGTCTATTTTAATTGTCAATAAATTGAATCAAATTGCCCCAAGTTGAGTCTCTTTTGCCTGTGATCGTAACTGTTAAGCAATCTCCCTGCCTTTGTTTTGACCCATGAGATTTTTCAACCTAGTTTCTAGCCCTGCCCTGTTGGGTGGGCAAGCAGCTGAGTGGGCATTTGGCTGCTGACCAAGGCTAAGCCACCACAGATGACACAGGTTGCACTGCCAATGGCATGATGACAGATATTTCTCTTTTGTTTGGTTCTGACATCACAAATATAAAAATAACACAGAGTATCACAAATGCTACC